TCAGCCTTTCCAAGTAGCCGGAATTACAGGCATGCACTACCACGCCCGGCTGATTTTTTGATTTACTATAGAGATGAGGTCTCGCTGCCTAGGCGGGTCTCGAACCGTGGGCTCAGGCAATCCACTCACCTCAGCCTCCCAAAGGCGCGGGATTACAGGCTGAGCCACCAAGCCCAGCTAACCTTTCCTTTAGTTAAAACCACATACTCACGAATTTTATAAACTTCTTCATCAAACACATCCTACTTCCTTGATATATTTTGCATATAGAGTTTTTCTTTTATCTTGTAGTTCTACTTGCATATATTAATTACAGTGTTAACTTAGTAACTCTTATTTTTAGTGGAAAAAACTAGGAAGTAAGCCATTTTAATTATGTACCAGATGCAGAACCCATGACAAAGGACTAAGCTCTGTAAAAAATGTTTGAAGGATCTAATTCCTCCCAGCATGGCAGAGGCACAACTGGACCAAGGAGGATGGGCCTGGGTGCTGTCCCCAGGCTTTACTATGGTCACTTGTCTAGACCTCAGAATCTAAAGGCTCAAATCCAAAGATAAGATCACAGACAAATTGAGTTTCCAAAATATCACAGAAGTGATAGTTTTATTTATTTATTTTTTGAGTTTCACTGTTGCCCAGGCAACAGTGGCATACTCACAGCCACCACAGCCTCGACATACTGGGCTTAGGCAATCCTTCTACCTCAGCCTTCCAAGTAGCTGGAGCTATAGGCATGCACCACCATGCCTGGCTATGTGTTTTTGATTAACTGTAGAGACCAAGTCTCGCCAAGTTGTTCAGGCTGGTCTTGAACCCCCGGGCTCAGGCAGTCCTCTTGTCTTCACCTCCTAAAGTGCTGGGATTACCAGCATGAGCCACTACACCCGACTTGAAGTAATAGTTTTATAACCTTAAAACGTCTAGCCTAAACCTGACTGATTGCAAACCCAGGCAAAAATGTCTGACTTATATTTAATTTTGATAATTCTAAAGACATTTCTATTTTGTTTTACCAACAATTTTTAAACTAGTTTTATTTACCAAAGGTTACTAAAGTCATATGAACTGAAAGTCATTTGAGTTTCTGTTTTTCTTTTTCTGTTTCTTTCTTTCTTTTTGGGGGGGAGTTAGGGTCTCACTGTGTCAGCCAGGCTGGAATGTAGTGGCACAATCACAGGTCCTCACAGCCTCAACCTCCTGGGCTCATGACATTTCTGCCTCAGCTTCCCAAGTATCTGGGACTACAGGAGTATGCCACCACACCTAGCTAATTTTTAATTTTTTTGTAGAGATGAGATCTCACTATGTTGCCCAGGCTGGTCTTGAATGCCTGGGCTCAAGTGATCCTCCCACCTCGGCCTCCCTAAGGGCTGGGATTACAGGCATGAGCCATTGTGTTCAGCCTGAGTTTCTATTCTTCTGATAAAATATTTGATTTAAGTGCTTGCTATTTTTTAAGCCAATTAATTATAGCTTTTTTTAAGAATCTTTTTTTAAAATTGTAATTCTTCCTCAAACCATTTTACTTTTACTTCTGGGCTTCCATTGCCAGAGGGGCAGCCCACAGAAGCAGCCATCCCACTGCAGCAGCTGCTCACTGCCCTTCCCTACTGCAGTATGATAGAAGGCTCTCAGCCGACACTCTAAACCCTCCAGTGTTTCCAGGGTGTCCCGTACTCATGAGTGGTCCACAAGTGTCTAAAAGGTGAACCACGCCACTCCACGTGGAAACGGCTAGCCACCCCCAGATCTCTTCTAGGTGAGCACGTCTATGTAGACTTATTTCTAAAGGCTGAGGGAGGTGAAAGGCTGAAGAAAGAGGCTGACAAATTCATTTTCTCAGAAACACTTAATAGAGACTTATGAACAAAAGCCATGTCTTGGGTGGCCAAGAGACAGCGGATCCCCCACTGTTACCTGTCCTTACCCCCAGACCTATGGCTTATCTAACACACGGGAGTTACATAAGGGCAGGATTTACGTTAAGTGCATTAAAGTGGAAATCTTAGAGGCATCCTCAGAACTGGGGTTAATCAGAAGTCAACATGTAATCCCAGCACATGGGAGGTTGAGGTGGGAGGACTGCTTGAGGCAGGAGTTTAAGAGGTCAGCATGACAGGTTAGCATCTAAGGTGGAGTTGCTTTAGCCTCCACAGTCCTCTACCTACTGTTTTTCATTATCTAACTTGGAAAAGTTATAAGGTGAAAAACAACTTATTAACCACCCCCTCATGCCTAAAAAAATTATTTTGTGATAATGAAAGTACTTGCTGATAATGTTTGTTTTCTCTAGTTGCCAAGTTTCCAGAACAGTCAAGATGATGGTGATATTCTCTCAAATATGGACCAAAATTTAACAACTCCATCATCAGTTATCTGGCCCTTGTCAAAAACTCCTGAATGTCAGCATGTCACTCCTAGCATGCTTGCCTCTATAAATAGGTAAATATTCATGCATATGATACATCAGTTCTCTGCATCCGTATGTTGAGGAACATTTAAACATTTCAGGAGAAGCATAAATGCCAGTAATGGGAAGACTCACCATTATAAAAAAAATCAAGGTGTAGTTCCTGGAAGTTAAGAATGGATAATTTCAGCAAGTTAGTTATGTTATACAATAAATAAGTGTTGGGATATAACCCACATTTTACGTCAGGATAAATTCTAAATGGATCAAAGTTTTACAAGTAAAACATTAAAGTATTAAAACACCTAAAGAAACCTTGGAGAATTCTTTTATAATCTCAGATTATTGCTGGTCTTTCTAACTGCGGTGTAAAACCCAGAAGCTACTAATAAAAAGACTAATAAAGTCAACCATAAAAAGTTTTTTTACGTTTTACCTGGTACCAACCACCATAAACAATAGAGACTAATTAAATGTATTCTGGCACATTGTGTTATCATAAAGATTAAGAAATTTTTTATTACTATTATGACAAAATATTCAAGCTATTTTTGGCGGGGGGGGGGGAGGTGGGCCTCTCACTCTGTTGTCCAGGCTGGAGTACAGTGGCACGCTTATGGCCACCACAGCCTAGACCTGCTGGGCTCAGGAAATCCTTCCACCTCAGCCTTCCAAGTAGCTGGCACTATAGGCATGAGCCACTGCGCCTGGCAAAACAGTATAATTTTTTTCAAAGCTTTTGATAAGCGCTTTGGCCAAGTCATCAAAAGTCTTAAAATATTCATCCTTTTGGTCTTGAACTTTCTTAGTAAATTCTAAGGAAATACACATCACCAGCCATTATCTCTAGGATGTAGAATAATGCTGGTGTGGGTTGTGGGGTTTTGGCAGAAAGAGCATTTTCTGTTTAAATCACTTTTACAATTAAGGAAATACGGTATTTTTTTTTCCTCTTAAAGAGTAAATGATAGACTCACTTATGTCATGAATTTATCTTTTTTGTTTTTTAATCTGTTTCTTAGAGCCTTTATGTTAAAAAATGATTTTCCTAGTCCTCTTTACCATCTCTGGACTTATCAGCTCTAGTAATTGGCTTACATTTTATAACAACTTTAAGTAAAGAGATAGCTGTATCACTTCAGAAGTGAAAAAATCTCTTTGTTTTACAAAGAGATCTTTGATGATAGACTGGTGGTGCTGATCCTGAACAATAGGCTAGGCCTATTCATTTGCTAAGCACCTTGCTAGGCTTATTCACTTGCTATTCAGCAGTGATTTATGATTTAGATAAATGTCTTTATACAATCACAAATTTACCAATTTCTACATGTCATGCCTTTAAGGTTGCTCTGAAAGGAAAGAGGATAGTCAATCATATAATATCTTGGAGTCAACGAAAATGGAAATTGGTGTTCAGCTGATGTTTACTGTCATGAGTGGAACTGAATTGTTGGGGTGGGCAATTGAAAAATAACCATTCTGTTTGATTCATCTTTAAATTATGAGTCAAGCCTATTTACTAAGAATGAGAAGGTGAAAGAGATGAGATAAAAGAAATGAAAAAAAGCCTTTGTGGTTGGCATGAGGAATGCAAGAAATATATACATATGTAGCAGTAAAAGCTTTGATGAGCTGGATTGAAAACTCAATGCAGGCTGGGTGCAGTCAAGGTGAGAGGATTGCCTGAGCCCGCAGGTTGGAGACCAGCCTAGGCAACTTGGCAAGACCTTATTTCTACAATAAATAAAAACCAGAAAAATTAGCTGGGCATGGTGGTGCTCGCCCGTAGTTCCAGTCTCTTGGAAGGCTGAGGCAGAAGGATCACCTGAGCCCAGCAGGTTGAGGCTGCAGTGACTGGGAGCTTACCACTGCCCTTCAGCCTGGGTGACAGAGTGAGACTCTAACTCAAAAAAATAGAAAGTAAGCCAGGCGCAGTGGCTCATGGCTATAATCCCAGCACTTTGGGTACTGGGGGAGAGAGGATTGCCTGAGCCCAGGTGTTTGAAACCAGCCTGGGCAACTTGGTAAGACCTTGCCTCTATATAGTATATAACTGCACTCCAGCTTGGGCAACAGAGTGAGACTTCTGACAAAAAAAATAAGTAAATAAATAAATAGAATATGTATTTTAAGATTAAAATAGATTTTACATTAATTTTGTCATTGCTGTTCAACCTGTGGATAAAAGTGTAACAGTTAATGTTGATTTGAAATTATTTTGTATTCAAACAGGAATGATTGTGATAAATATGTTTTCCACATGCAAAAAAATCATAAAAGTAATGGTGGCATTGCCTGGGGCAATATCAAGAAAAAGACAGTAAGTATTTTTATTCTTTATCCAACAGTTCTCTATGAGATAATTTATCATATGTGATGAATTGTGGTAGCTACAAGTTATGTAACAGTCCCTGTGCTTGAGGTACTTAGAACCTAATATGAGTTAATCATGAGGCTATAAGTGAGGTAAGCACATAAGTATTGTCGGCTTACAGACAACTCATAGACCTAAAGCATCTGAGCAGGTTGAGGTTGGTAAAAGCTTTCATTTGGGAAGTGAGGTGAGAGTGTAGAAAAACAGGTACAGGTCAAGGAGGAATGTTTCAGGCAAGATGCAGAAGTGTATCTGTTCAGTGACTGGGGGATAATTCAGACTAAATGAGTCACCATTTTCATAGAATAAGAACTGTCATCAAATCCCAATCAACTTTAACATGGTTTCAAATGTTTTGCAGCTTCAACTACTTATTTTCCTTCTTTTTCTATACTTCAACATTTAAAAATCCAATTCCAGAAAAAATTTTAACTTATACATGCGTTAGTAGAATGGTTTGTATTCCTCTGAGAAAAGATTAGGAGAATCCTTTATCTCCCTGAATTAATTTTTTTTTTTTTTTTTTGAGTTGGACTCTCTCTGTCGCCTAGGCTGGAGTGCAGTGGCATGCTCACTACCACCACAGCCTCAACCTGCTGGACTCAGGTGATCCTACTGCCTCCACCTGCATGTAGTTGGAAGTACAGGCACGTGCCACCATGCCTGGCTAATTTTTGATTTATTGTAGAAATAAGGTCTTGCTAAGTTGCCCAGGCTCATCTTGAATCCGTGTGTTCAGGCAGTCCTCTCACCTCAGCCTCCCAAAGTGCTGGGATTATAGACATGAGCCACCGCGCCCAGCCTGAACTAATTTTTTTGTTTTGAGTTGGAGTCTCACTCTATCGCACTGGAGTTCAGTGGCCACTCCCAGCCACCTCAGCCTCCACCTGCTGGGCTCCAGCGATCCTTCCGCCTCAGCCTTCCAAGTAGCTGGAACTACAGGCACGCGCTACCACGCCCGGCTAATTTTTTTGATTTACTGTAGAGATGAGATCTTGCCAAGTTGCCCAGGTGGGTCTCAAACCCTCGGGCTTAGGCAGTCCACTCACCTCAGCCTCCCAAAGCGCGGGATTACGGGCTGAGCCACCAAGACTGGCTCTGAATTATTTTTTAATTTCTGGTTTTAAATTGAATAACTGATAATGAGATATAAGTACTAGGATTCTAAAAAAGCCATTTCACCTCACATGCCCTCAAAGTAAAGAGCTAATCTTAGAGAGTGATCATTTATGGGGGTGGGGGACTACCTTACGCCCTAAAGGTGCTCTTTCAGACCAGGTTATGGCCATCTCTTACTTCTTTACTCATTTTGAAATATTTATACCATAAGTTGGCCAGGGTGTAATTCCCTTCAGAGAGCCTCTAAATATTGGGATTATAAAGTCACGCCCAATCTTTATTCATTTCAGTTGTTCGCAGGAAATGGTAGATATCTCACTGAGGACCTTGGTTTAAAATTAGTCTGGGGACTAAATTCTTCAAAAGAAATCTGTACTCCATCATTGAAGTAGGCATACTCCTCAGAGTTTAAGATTCTCTTGTTCCAGTTTCCCACATTTTTTAATAAGAATGAAAATTTGATTTGTTGCAAAGGACCTGGAATTAATATAGTAAGAAAACCTTGAAATGGGAACCCAAAGACTTGGCTTCTAGTCCTTGTTTTGCAAGTGAGAAGCTGAATTGCCTTGAAAAGTGCCCTAATCCAGTGTTTCTCAAACTTTATTGTGCATAGAAGTCATCTAGAGGTCTTGTTAAACCCCAGATTCTGATCCCAGTAGATTTGAAATGCAGAATTTCTAACAAGCTCCAGGTGATGTCCATGCTGCTGATCCATGAACTATCCTGAGATTCTAATTCACTCAGTCTGTTTCTTCTGCAAAATAAGAAGAAGAAGCTGATATGGATATATCTGTAAGGGCCCTTCCTATTCCACCCAGGGTATAATAGCACAATCACTGCTCAGTGAAGCCTCGACCTTTGGGTCCTAAGCAGTCTTCTGCTTCAGCCTCCCAGTTAGCTGAGACTACAGGCATGTGCCACCATGAACAGTTAATTTTTTTGTTGTTGAGTTGGAGTTTCACTCGGTTGCCCAGGCGAGTGCAGTGACATGCTCACGGCCACCACAGCCTTGACCTGCTGGGCTCAGGTGATCTTTCCACCTCAAGCCTTCCAAGTAGCTGAAATCACAGGCATGCACCACCATGTCTGGCTAATTTTTCTTGATTTATTGTAGAGATGAGGTCTAAATCAAGTTGCCCAGGCTGTTCTCTCGCCTCGGCTTCCCAAAGTGCTGGGATTACAGGCTTGAGTCACCACGCCTGGCCTAATTTTTTTTTTAATGATTTTTTTAGTGATGGGGGTCTCAGTATGTTGCCCAAGCTGATCTTGAACTCCTGGCCTCAAGCAATCCTCCTGTTACAGCCCCCAAAGTGCTGGGGTTACAGGAATGAGCCACCATGCCCAGCTACATTTTTCATCTTAACTACTTGGGGGGCTTTTGTTCTTATTTATGGGTTATAACTTGAGCAGTTTGCCAAACTGTAATATCATTGTGATTCAGCCCCATTTTTTTCATAACCTAATATTTTGTAGCCAATGTGTTAGGATGGAAATAAGAGAATGAGGTGTTAAAACTTCTGATTTCAAGTTCTGATTCTCCATACCAGCTTTATGATACTGAGCAGCTACTTGAGCTTTCTATTATAATATTTCTATTGTATAATTTTATTAATATGTGGCATGACAATGGGAGTCATATTGGTTTATGTTATTGAATGATTTTGAGAGCTAAATGATATGTTGTTTTGCCTCATCTCAGGAGAAAAATGTAATCTGTGAGCATGAGTTTGTATCTCAAAAGTTTCTTATTATAAAACTTACCCTTAGTACAGGGGGTATACTGTATCATTTTCTATTTTTTAAGGATTGTCAGCCATAGCCAATAGTTTGATAAGTGTTGATGTGATGTATGTGAGGGTACACTTCCAACATGCCACATACGTTACCATTTTGGCTAAGAACCTGAAGTACAGAGAATGAAAATTTTGCTATTATGTTTTCCAAATGCAGATTTTTACCTCCATTCAGCTATGATTATAATAATTATGATAAATTATGTTTAATGTTAACTTTACCAGCCCAGCCTATTCATTATTTAAGTGAAATAATTAGTACATTTTGGCAGTGTTCAAAGGCCCATGTGCTATTCTTTAAAAACTGTAGCATTAATTTATAATAATTTCTTATAGTAATGTTTGCCAACTGTGGGAAACAACATTGAATAAGTCATGGTTCTTGTCTAGGGTAAATTTGACTTACAAGAGAATCAGGCATTTCACAGATAATTATAATGTGATTACTATTGCTACAGGCATATGTTCAAAGTACTTTGGGGATAAAGCGTGCTTAATTTTGTCTAGGTTTGAGGTAGGTTTAACAGGAGGTACTGCTTAGCTATTAATATAAACTCTTTTATAGGTTGAAACTGATTTCTCAACTCCAGCATCAAGAAGGAAAACCATGTTTAACAAAGGTAATATGTTTATATCTTTCTTTTGTAGCTCAGTATTCTAAGCTAGGTTCTTTATTTAAATGGTTTTAAAATTAATTGCTCTCAAGTGGACAGACCTACTATTTAGTTCCTTAGAGTTTTCAGTGTTATTGAAATTACTTTTAGAAATTTATTAATCCTTTTTTAAACTTCTCTTCACAGATTTAGGAGAAAACCCTGGTATTGGAAAACTTTTCACTGATGCTATGGACTCTTTAGATGAAGAAGAGAAAGATTATTATTTTTCAAACTCTGATTCTGCATAGTAAAAATAAGAAAATATGATTTCCAGGATTTTTACCATAAGACAGTACATCTTTATCTTCAATTGGAGTACATATATTTTCTTTAGAAAGTACCTTCGTATGAAAATGTGGAGTACTTTTTCAAAAGTTTCATGTGTTTATATTCAAAGTAAGATATCCTTCTATAGTACATTCCTCATTGCTACACTTTTGCTAAAAATATAAAAAAATTGTCTTGCTTGTGTGTAGATATTTGTAAATTTCTGCTTCTACAATATTAAAATATACATAGATAAGTTTCTTATAAGCATCTAAGTCTTTTTGCTTTAAGAAAATTATATCCCAAACAGATTTTTAAAAAGCTTTCAGGAAAATGTTGCTACCTTCAAGTAAGTAGGGGGGCGAGGATGAAGAGGTAGCTACTGCATTCATGAAAACTTTTAAGTTAGCATTTGTCACCACTGGATATACAAGCCAGAGTGGATCTAATGTTTAAATTACACACTGTTGAAACTATTTGACGTGCTTCTCTCCTGCTTGTTTTTCTTAAAACTTGTAATTGGCATGTCTATGAAACCTATATAAATTTAATGTATTGCTTTTTCATTAGTTTATTAGGTAGAGAAGATTTTGTTGCATTTTTAAGCCTTATTTACATGTACAGACACAGTTTAAATTTGGTCTCAATACTTTGACTAGATTAGACAAACATCCAAGTTAATAGCTCTACCATTAGGAGTCATGTTAATATGTCATAGTAAACATCCTTTTCCTTTCACTAACAGCTCCTCTAGAGATAAACTTCATTAGTTTACTATGTTTTAAAATTTGACATAGAATATCTTCCCTCTGGCTACACAGTCACCCACCCTTTCTCTCCAGTTAAGGTTGTCCAAATAAAGTTATTTTGCTTTTTTATAGTATGTGTATCTTATTTTTTTGCTTATTTGCTTTTAATTACTGTATCATAGAAAGAAAAACAGATATGTATTTTGTTACTGGTCCCGCTTAAGTTTCCTCAAAAAATACTTGAACTTTTAGTAGAAAGCAGCATTTTGTTTCTTAAGAATTTAGCCACAGCTACACAGTGTCGCATGCCTGTAATCCTAGCTACCTGGGAGGCTGAAGCCATAGGATAACCCAGGAGTTAGAAGCTGAAGTACACTAGGGTTGGGCCTGTGAATAGCCACGACACTCCAGCCGGGACAACACAGTGAGACCTTGTCTCCTAAAACAAAAAAAGAATTTAGTAAGTAATAATAAGTAGTTACATAAGACTTACAGAAGCTAAATGTAAAAAGAATAGTGCAGTTGGGCTAAGATCATTCTCCTTTTAAAACTACCATGATTATTTCTACCGCAAAGATCCTTGGTTTGGTAGATGCAGGATAAAAATAAAATGGTTATTTTAGAGTAGCCCTAAAAAATACTGTTGGTAAACTTGTGTTGCCAATATTTGGTGTAATGCTACGCTGCTTTACGTTAAAGGACAGTGTTTTAGGACTTAAGAAGGTGGTTATATCCCTTAACAAAAGCCCAAAAGAGAATTCTGAAATGGCATAAACTGGACTCAAACCATGCTGCCCATATTCCCCATGTCCTATCAGAACTCCTTCAGCATCCTTCCTGTTCTGTTCTTTCTTGTTTGTTTAATGCTCCAACACTTGACTTTTCTTGAGTCCTTCCTATTATAAGGTATTTCACCTGCCAGTGAGTTTGAGCGTGTGTTATCTGCATGGGAGGTGCTTCAAGGAAGTCAGCCTGCCCAGGTTCAATGTGAGGAAAACTTGTTTGACTGTTAAGTTGGTTGCAGTCATAAACATGTCAATCCTACTGTTTAACAATAATAACAGTTCATACTTTAATTTTGGAAGAAAGTTCATAAATACATCTTTAAGCTTTTACTTTCTTGAACTATCCTTAATAGCCCTTTAATAAACTTTTAGTTAAATAAAAAAATTAGTTTTATAATCTAGTTAATCAAAATGATTACTGAACATCAGGCTTTCTTTTTAAATAATTTATATAAATAAAATTTTATACAATATGGAATATTTAAGTGATAAGGAAATATTTATACATTTTAAACTGATAATCACAAATCACAGCAATGATTACTGAAGTGCATCATGAGACTTCTGATAACGGCATCTTGAGCAGTTGATCATACATCGGATGTCAGTTTGTCTTGGTTAAGATCATTTGGTAACATTTGTATGTCAAATACATAGTGAATATATTTATAGATCTCCTCGGCCTTTTGAAGAGTTACTTGTGCATACACCGAGATTTCTTGAGGTGAGCTGAAAAATTAGACAAAATAATTACGCTAGAACTTTTGACCTTTATAAAATTTAACATTCTTAACACCAAACACAATGCTTTTTTTTTTTTTTTTTTTTTTGAGTTGGAGTCTCACTCTGTCAACCAGGCTGGAGTGCAGTGGCACAGTCACAGCCACCGCAACCTCAACCTGCTGGGCTCAGGCGATCCTTCTGCCTTAGCCTTCCAAGTAGCTGCAACTACAGGCACATGCCATCACACCCGGCTAATTTGTCATTTATTGTAGAGATGAGGGCTCACCAAGTTGTCCAGGCTGGTCTCAAACCCATGGGCTCAGGCAATCCTCTCACCTTGGCCTCCCAAAGTGCTAGGATTATGGGCGTGAGCCACCGCCCGGCCCGCAACAGCTTTTCAAAAAATCATCTTTTCTTAAATGTACATCCAGTTGATATGTCGCCAGTATTAGTGTAGGTAAAATAAAAATGTTTCCTTTATTTAAAATTATCTTCAATACCGGAGCCCAGCCACGTCGAGGCTGCAGTGGCCGGGAGCGGCCACTGTACTCCAGTCTGGGTGACAGAGTGAGACTGCAACTCAAAAAAAAAAAATTATCTTCAATAATCATTTCAACATCCACAATAAACAATATTTTTGTTCCCTCTCTGCCCAAATTCATGAGTTGAAACTCTAAGTCCAATGTGATAGTATTTGGAAGTGGAGACTAGGAGATGATTAGGTCACAATGGTGGGTCCCCCAGTGCCCTTATGAGGGGCAAAAGAGCTAACTCGCTCTGTTTCTGCCATGTGAGGATACAAGAAATCAACAGCATGGATCCAAGTAGAAGGCCCTCACCAGAACCCAGCCATGCTAGAACCCTAATCTCAGAATTCCAGTGTCCAGAACTGTGAGACACAAATTTCTGTTATTTATAAATTACTCAGTTTATGGTATTTTGTTATAGTAGCTCAAGCTGTAAAATGAACCTATTTTCTAAATTTCCTTTTTCAAGCAATATAATGATAAAACTAGTAAAAATTCTCAACCTGAACATTTTTTTAGTTACAGAACTGAACAGTCCAGAAAAATGAGACTGCAAAGTGAAATGTAACTAGTTTGTTGTTTATCTCCCCATAGAGCTCGAAGGCAATGCCTACACTTTTTTCGTTTTTTCCCATTAATGTCCCTTAGTTTCATACAGTAACTGATACACGTTGGCAAACAAAAAACTCTTCACTGAATAAAATAATCTAACAGGTAGTATACCTTTTTTAGTTGTGAAAATATTAATCACTTAAAAATATTAGACATACCTGTTAGCCATCTTTTTCACAGATGAAAACTGGTGACACAAATTTAATGCAGTTATATAACTTATATTGGGAATACTTAAATAAAACTGAAGTGCCTCACATTTACTACTATTCACTACTGCTGGAACGTGAATACCAACATTCTTTCTTTGTTCCACTAAAGACAGTTCTTTTAGCAAATCTGCAGTTTCTTCTTGGCAGGAACTGAAAAGAATTCGGATTCCAGCGCCAATTAAGGCAGTCAGCAGGCTGTCATAGCTCTTTGTTCTCCTAAACATCCTTGATGTGTCCCCTAAAAAATTTTAATAGTACAAACTTTAGTAACTAATATTAAATAAAATCATCAATATACTTTGTTATTAAAATTCTAAGAGCTATACCACTGAGCAAACATTTTGCTCATGAGAAAACCCACAGCTAAAGTTTTAAAGTGATTCTCAAATATGTGACAGATAAAACAGAGATAACTATGAGTATCTTGAACTAGAATTTTAAAGTTAAGTAAAGGAGAACTTACATCCTTACATATTTCATTTCTGAAGGCCAAGACTATATTACTCATCTCTAATTTTTCATGTTAGCACTGACGAAGGGTTCATTAAATACTGGTATAACTGATATAAAATTATATATTTATTCCAGAGTAACTAAAAAAATACCCTAAACACCCATTTTAATATCACCTTGCCAATTAATTACTTCTCTACCCTTTCACATTTTCTTTTCCATATTGTACTTACATCCTTTTATTGGCATTTCCCTTTATGCACCCCCAGATACTATTCCATAGCTTTTGACTTGTTACTTCTCTATTCCAAATATATATACTTTATCCCAAACTCTTCAAATAAAAAAAAAGACTAGATTACTGAAAACTAAGGTAACTTACCTAAGTGACAGCATGGAAATGAAAAAGTTGCCCAATTCCAAAATCAATGTTTTACACTATTTCCTTTTATGTATAATTTTTTAATTCTTCCATAGTGGCTTTCACCTACATGATTTCACTTAATCCTTATATCACAAAATACGTGGAATATTACGAATCCCTCAAAGGAAATGAGTTGTCAATGCAATGTCATAGCTTTGGAGTAAACAGAAACCAGCATGTCTTCTGATTCCACAGCTTATGCCCTTTGGTCTAGTCTTGGGGGGGGTCTCCATACAATTAAATAATTACTGCAGAAATTCCTAACTGAAATTCCAATCCTGCATTTCCAAATGCATCCTAGGTGACCGTTTCAGTGACCCGTTGAGAACTCAATCTTAACATGGTCAAAGTTCAGTTCCCCTTGCCCCTCAAGTCTGCTTTTTCTCTTATATTCATAATTGTAATAAACAGCACCTCTATCTAAGCTGACCCAGAAATCAGTCAGCTCGCAGTAATTCTCATTTCCTCACACTAACTCCTGCTAATCCTGATACCTAAACATCTCCTGAGTCCTACTTCTCCATTGCTGTCTTATTTAAGGCCCTCCTCCTTTATGGGTTCTTGAAAAACTCTCATGCTTGGTTCTTTTGCCTTCAATATCTCATCCTCCAATTCTCATAAGCTGCATTTAAATATATGATGAGAAACACCATGGTACATAAAAATTTGAAAGTATATTTATGAGCCAGGTATTTAAAGTTTCCCATATCTGACAACAGAAAAATAAACTAAATGGTCAAGTTTCTTTACATTGAGTCGGAGTCTCACTGTCGCCCAGGCTGGAGTGCAGGGGCACACTCACGGCCACCACAGCCTTGACCTGCTGGGCGCAGGCGATCCTTCCGCCTCGGCCTTCCAAGTAGCTGGAACTACAGGCTCATGCCACCATGCCCAGCTAATTTTTCTTGATTTATTGTAGAGACGAGGTCTCACCAAGTTGCCCAGGCTGGTCTCGAACCCCTGGGCTCAGGTAATCCTCTCGCCTTCGCCTCCCAGAGTGCTGGGATCACAGGTGTGAGCCACAGGGCCTGGCTCTTTACATTCTTATAAACAAAGATTTTAAAATACAAACCTGTCTTTCCTCTGTCCTTTTCCACAATCACACATATTCTTTCAAACATGCTCTGCAGGTGCTGGATCTGTTCAATGAGCTTGTTCTTACGGACAGTATTTAACATCTCAGATTGGGACCTCCTTTCCACCACCATGCGGTTACTCACAATGTAGTCACAGTCATTCAGAGAACAAACCTCCACTTGTAACCCATGAATTGCTCTTAGGGAAGAAATTACTTCCAAACCAGAAGTGACTTCATGACTGTTAACAAGAATACAGGTTCTTTTCCCTTCCTGTGGAAGTCTGAGAGAAGGATGTGTCCCAGCTAAATGTGGTCCTGAATTGGAACAGGATGCCCCTGAAGTGCTAGAATCCTCCAGAGCACTCCCAACCTGAAAAAGCTGAAAACACCACAATCAGGTTCAACATATATTTGTGCCATAAACATCTTACACCTAAAGTTGATTGTCTTTACTGATAATGTTCTTTTTTCTACCTTCGACATGAAGAAAGTGATTGTAGGTAAACAAATAAGCCACAAAAAAATAGTGTAAAATAATAATTAACAACCAAAGCTAAAAATAATTGAAGGAGGAGAAAATCTAAAAATGAACAGGAAAGGAAATAATGTTAGAAAATTATAGCCAGGCACGGTGGCTCAAGCCTGTCATACCAGCACCTTGGGAGGCAGAGGCAAGAGGCTTATCTGAGTCGGGGTTAGAGACCAGCCTGCGCAACTTGACAAAATGTCTACAATAAATCAAAGAGTTAGCCAAGTGTGGTGGTGCACACCTGTAGTTCCAGCTACTAGGAAGGCTGAGGCAGAAGGATCCCCTGAGGCCAGCAGGTGGAAGCTAAGGTGGCCGTCAGTGTACCACTGCACTCAGCCGGGGGGAGGGAAAATAAGAAAAATATAATTTTTAGCCCAGAGGAAAAACAAATGGAAAGTTAAATAGCAACCTTAAAGCATATTAGAGCTCATCTTGAAGAATAAGGAAGACAGACAAGCCAGACAAGAAAAATAGGGAGATTTGATAACTAGAAAATATCTCCAGCTGAAAACAACTAAACTTGCTAAATAACATGTTTTTAAAGTCTATTTAAACATACATAACTGGGCTAACAAGAAAGTACAGAATGCACCAATCAAAAACAAAATGAAAATGAGAATTCTGAAAGTTAATTAAGCCAGAATAAACTCAGGTTTCCTTTACAAAGTATCTGCCCAAATCCTGTTCACCATTTATTCCTCTTTTGACAGAGGCACGGGACATGGGAAACATGTGCAGTGCAAGATGTCTGAACCTCTGCCCCTATCAAGGGCAGTTATTTAATATAAGTCCAAGTAAGAAATCCATTCCATAAAAGCAGAAAGCAAACAACAGTCTTGAATTTTGATATCTGGTAGAAGGAGAAAAAAAAACTCCTCTCAGAATTGGTATCTACTAACTGACCCTTCAGCCCTTATGTGCGTTTGTAGCCAGAACACACAATACTTGTCTAGTCCACAAAAAACCTCAAACAAATCATTTAACATGCTCTCAGAAGAGAAATTCAAATGGCTCTCGTGAGTTCATGTGAATGTATGAAACTATGAGAAAACATGTTTTCAACTGTGCTCTAAGAAGAGTACAAGTTTGAAAATATATGGATTAAAATTTCTCACTAGATAGTCAGCATTCTTTCTCTTGATGAGTCTCTGGAAGGATCAGAAATGATTTTAGTGTGGGTAGGAATAAAAAATGGAGTTCGTTAGCAGTGCCTGGCAACATAACATATACATATGTCTTTCACAGCAATTCCACTTAAAGGACTTCATTCTAAAGCTACAATGGCAAAATACAAGAAGATATGCACACGGCTATTTGTTATAAGACTATAAGAACAAAAGATTAGAAACCCAAATATGCATCAATATGGAGCTAGTGAATAAATTACTACATAATTGTACAATGACGCAGCATGTGGCTGTACAAAATAATGAGGAATATATACCTATATATTACTAAGTGAAGAATATATGCCTCTATATTACTGATTTTATCCTTGGATACATTTTTAAGTGAAAAAGCAAGGTATTGCTCTTTTTGTAGTTAATCAGCATTGTGATCGGGTTTTCATGCTCATGTGTGAGAAGTGCCTCCCTCAAACCTTGTTATGATGTCGCCACGTTACCTATCAGACACGTAAAAAAAAAAGAGTATGTATGTATTATATGCTGCTATTTATCTAAGGAAAATTAAAAATATTTAATTTCTCAAAAAATAGATAAACTAGCCAAAATACACATTTTTTTCAAAATTACCTACATACAAGGGAGGAAGCAGTGTGAAGGGCATAACAATAGAAACTATACTTCTAAACTATACTTCTGTGAATATACGATACATACGGTTTTTTTTTTAGTTAAAATCTCACTCTGTTGCCTAGGCTTGAGTGCACTGGCACGCTCACGGCCACTATAGCCTCGACCTGCTAGGCTCAGGTGATCCTTCCATCTCAGCCTCCCAAGTAGTTGGAACCACAAGCATGTGCCACCATGGCTGGTTGATTTTTGATTTATTGTAGAGACGAGGTCTTGAACTCCCCAGACTCAGGCAATCCTCTCGCCTCTGCCTCCCAAAGTGCTGGGATTGAAGGCGTGGTCCACCACATTCGGCTTATATTTTGTCTTGTAGATTTTAATTTGGGACCATGTATATATGTTACATAATTATAGAACAAAATAAATTGAAAATAAACATACATTGAAGTAAGCTAGCCTTAATATATACAAGGGAGACCCCAAAATGGACTTTATTTATAAAAAATTGTGTATTCATTCTTACATGTTTAAATTTCAGTCACCTTCAAAGTACTCTCCATTTGTTACACCTATTGAGATGCTTTTTTCCACTGCTCAAAACAGTTTTTGAGCTCATCAGTTTTGATGCCTTTAAATGTTTCTGCTGTTTTTTGTTTCACCTCTTCCACATCAGCAAAATGTTTCCCTTTGAGGATTTTACCCAGGAAACAAAAAGGCTGCTGGGGCAAGATCAGGTGAAAGGGGATGGTGGGGAGTGGGGATCATGACTTTTTAAAAACCAAAATCTGCTGAACACTGAGCGTGATGTGGGTGGGTACGTTCGTGCACCACCCATCATGAAACGGGCATACCATGTTGAAAGAATCTGCAAAAAAAATGTCACTGAAGCCAAATGCAGCCTCTTACAACAACGCTAGCTGGTACACTGATGCGGATGGGTTCCTAGAACACTGACCTGGCAAGAGAAGCCTGTTCTACAAGGGCCTGCCCTCCAAAAAATAACTCCAGTTTTTTGGGGTCCCCTCTTGTATATTCATTTGATGGAATAATCAGAAAGAACTATTTCAAATAATTTGTAAGGAAGCACAAATTCTTTAGACAAAATATCACAAAAAAATTCTTAAACTGGTTTCAGTAACCATATTACTGATAATGATACTATTGTTCTGAAATTGCTATTATGTGATTTGAGAGAGAAAGAAATTAATTATATATTAATCCTATTCTTCTCTATGTTATTAAGATTCTACATATGATATAAAGGAAATAAAGATATAAAATTCAAAAGAGTAAGTGAAAACCAGGTTAGAAATAGTGTTTCACATTTGTAATCCCGGCTACGCTACTTGGGAGGCTAAGGCAAGAGGACAGTTTAAGGCCAGAGTTCGAGACCAGCCTGCACCACATATCAAGACCCCATCTCTAACAAGAAAAAGTTAGCCAGGCATGATCGCATGCACCTGTCATCCTAGGTACTCGTGTTACCTTAGGAGTTTGCAGGAGGATCTCGTCATCTTAGGAGTTTGAAGCTACAGGGGGTTATGATCGTGCCACTGCACTCCAGGCTGGGCAAAAGTGTAAGACCCAATCAATCTTTAAAAAGAAAGAAAGAAAGAAAACCCAGTGCTCATCAATTTGAGATATCAGCACGAACTCATGATGTGTTTTAGCTTATGTGAGTATATGTGCATGTGAGAGAAATATATATGTTTCTTAACTCTGACCACTGAAAAGACCTAGAAATATTATCAAAGAGCATCAAAATCCATTTCACACTAAAAGGAACCAGGGCAACTTGGAGACATAGCTGCTTCCTGGTCTAAGGTGGGAAATGTTCGAGATAGCTTGGCATATATCATCATCCATATAGCAAAGGAGGTAAGCACTCCAAGCACCCAAAATAGTGTCCAAATACCATTTTCCACTAAAAAGAACCAAGGTAACCTGGAGAAATAACCACTTCTAGCACTGAGACAGAAAATGTGCAAATGAGGCTGGTATATCATGAAATCATATAACAAATAGGTAATCCAAGACAGCTAGAGTCAGGTCAAAGCACTTGGGAGCCACACTGAAGAAAGTCTCAGGGGTCAGAGTTGGAACAATTTGGATACCAAAATTTAAAAGAGGAGTAATCAGTTAAAATACATCACATATGCTTAAATTCATGAATTCATAATGTTAAAAACATAAAAAAAAACAAATCTATCATTCTAAAAGTGATAAAGATAAATCTCATATTAACCTGCTTTTCCTAAACAAACTATAGTAGTGGGTAACAAAATACCAGATGAAGGAGAGAAAACTCAAATTACTAAAATCAGCAACGAATGACAGGACATTGCTATCGACTTTATAGAACTAAAAAAGGATTATAAGAGAATACAACAGCTGTATATCAACAAATTGGATAACTAAATGACATGAACAAATTTCTAGACACACGAACCAACAAGACTGACTCAAGAATAAATAGAAAACTTGACAGGACCTATACTAAGATCATTAAATCAGTAATCAAAAACCTCCCAACAAGGAAAAAAAAAATGTTTAGGAGCAGATGGTTTTAATGATGAATTCACCAACATTTAAAGAAAAATTAAGACCAATCCTTTTTAAACATTCCCCCCAAAATTGAAGACAAAATATTTTTCTTTCTTTTTTTTTGTTTTTTTTTTTTTTGAGTTGGAGTCTCACTCTGTCGCCCAGACTGGAAATGCAGTGGCCC